ATATATATATATATATATATATATATATATATATATGACTTACAGTATTGTTGACCATTTCGATAGCCAGCAACAGCTGCATGGACCCTGCTTTGAGACTGACGTGAATTCGAGGCCACTGTCCAGCTGTCCACAGCCCATGAAGTTTCTCCTCACGAATGGTGAATACCCCTGGGTTGGGCGTAATATCTGTCCAGTTGAACACTGACACAATAAGAAGGGTGCTGTCGTAATCAAACCACGGATAACGTATTACACGGTGAAAAGACATCCGAGTTAGGTGTGTGATTTCTGGACCACGAACGGCGCACAAGTGGACGTACGCTGCTCCAGCTTCACGACCTGGATCATCAAAAGTAGTGATTCTGGTCTGCAGCTTTCTTGTCAGCCCACCGAATTTACACTCTACCAGTACGTTTCCAGGAGGTAGTGCTTTAAGACTTGACCGCTTTGGTTTGAAAGTGATGACTGATTGGAAGTTTTGAACGTTCACGAAATCGGATGTATTTTCTGGTAGCACATCTTTATGCTGTAAGTTTTTGCTGGATTGTCTTGAAACTGACGTATATTTCTTCAACGCGTAAGCTATGTGTGGAGTATCGGACGAGGCAAATCGAATATAACCGGACACAATGGGTGGCATGGCTACTGCTACACATTCCCACGTCCGTGTTTCTGCATCATACCGGAACGACTCAATGCTCGGAGGAATAGTGAATAGTAAGCTTTCAACCTTACTGGGGCTTCTCACGGTCATATCCTTTTCATCCGCCTGGAGAGAAATGGTTTCACAAAATACATGGGCATTCACGTCATCGAGCCGCAGCTGAGTTATTACCAGATGAATCCAAAGATGACGTTTTTGGTCGACCGAATTCACAGTGACTGAACAGGAAACAATGTAAGACTGAGGATCAGGGGAGACGTTCGTGACCTGGTTACAGCTCTTGTCTGTTGCGGCAACGAACAAACACGGGATTGAAGATTGCTGTCCCACAGGATGACCGAGATTGCAAACAATATAGATGAGATAGGATGTTGTGTAAACTAACTTGAGAGGTAGGTTCTTTGAAGTGATCGGGGCAGTGCAGTTCACTTCCACTTGGTCGCCCTTTCTTATGGATTTGGAGTCCGGCGTTGGTGTGGTGTATAACTCTGGTTTTACTGGACAGTCGGGACTCAGATCAGGCAGTTCTATAGGTTGACTAATTTTCAACAGGTCAGAAGTCGGTGGTACACCGAGCAGCCAGCGTTTTGTGCTCTCTGTCTCGTTTGCTTGCCAAACAATACAGAAAATTTGGCTCCCTTCCATGTTTCGCGGGATCTCATACCAGTTCAATAGGTTCGGACGTTTAGGATGGACTTTTGTTCGCGTCAGAACCGGGAGCTTAGTTTGATTAGTCGGTTTACGAGGTGCCATGACGAGGAGCACTTCCAGTTGAAGAGCGAATCCTCCAGAACTGCACTCAAACTGAGCTGCTCGATTTTCCAGTGTGGGCCAAGAGATAGGTTTTAATATGGGTTCCTCAATGCGAGGCGCTAATATGGTCATATTACTCACCGTGTAGTTGACTGAATCCGGAGTCTGCGATTAGATAAACGGGTAGAATAACAATTTTAGATACAGGGGAATATCGCTTTTATGTAAAAAAAACAGCTGCAGTTTACCCTAGGTATAATGGATGATTTGCTACGAGGGTTCTGTCGTTGATTGGCCCACCCTCTGTTGATCTATCCTAACCTCAAACTCTGCCAATCAAACACTGACCTCAAAATCCAGTTTTCGAGAACCTATAGAGATCGACATGTGGTAAGGGTGGCACGTAAGTAGCAGCGAAGCCAAAATGAAGTTACACCCACCAACTAAATCAAAATTATTTTTTGGTGCACAGGTTGTCCATTTTCAACTTATTTAATTACAGTCTTCGTCTATTTGAAACCAACCAAGCCAAATCAATGGGAGAAATGCGTAACTTTAAGAATATTAGGTGTGCCTCTAGCTTACATTCAAACCTGATACGAACTTCTGGCTTTAGGAAGTGAGAACCGTTCTTGGCGAGTGCGGCTGCTCAGCTCGCACGTTCAGTCAAAGTATGTATAAATGAATCTGGGAGTTTACTTAACATTTCAGATTTGGATTACTGGATATTGACTTTATTTTACAAAAAATCTCTGTCAGTGATGCAATTAGCTGGAGGATAACGTCATTAAGTACACTAATTTTCATACAATTTTGGTTTCACTGGGGGAACCAACTTAATCCCAGCCGAATTTTTCCTCCAGGATATTCTTAAACTGAATGCACTGTACAAAGACTGTTGTTCCTCACGTCCGTTCACGAGAATGAGAATGGTAACGTATCTGAATGTACGAAATTGTTTCAAACGAAATGGAGTAGCAAAATTCCTGTTGCTAAACCTTCCCAGATCAGTAGGTGATGTATCCTATCACAAAGGAAGTCCTGTTTTGCATGTGATTTCTAAGCCACTAATGAGGCTCAAACAGATACCAGTCCGGTGATCAACACTTTCTGCTGAATGATTTTCGACTGCGTTCTCGATCCAGCTACAGTGGTGGTACTCATATTTTACCTTGCAAAAAGGCTGAATAATTATTATGGAATGAACGAAATCCGACATATAAATATGGACGATCTAATGAGCGGAGCTTTGTACTGGTTAATCCTGGACATCCACTATGATGCTGCCGTAAATATACGATTGCGCACAACCATTAACTATCTACCTTTATCCGTGCCCGAAGTTATGCTGTCAGAAAACGTCAGCCAGTCTATCAGCTGTTTCGTCCATCATTTGCAAGTGTTGCGGATTACTGAAAGTTGAGAATGGGTAAAAGTTATCACCCTTGTCCGAACTATTCAGACAAGTCCCGTAGTGTTTATCGCGATATACTCTTGCCGTACAACCACTCGTTAAAGCCATAATTCAGCTTTCGACTCCCGTGTACATTCTTCGGTGGTTTGCGCATTCTGTTCGTCATTATGCCGTCATTCTACCGATACCTGATTCGGTTTACTTCCGTAATAAATACTCTCGTATCGACGTGCATCAATCACGTCATACCGTAATTAATAATAATAACTGTTTTGCTGTAACATCCTTTCAGTGCCTAGCTACCACTTCGCCCGATGGAAGCACGAGACCTGAGATACTGTCAGGTAACCCAAGCCCAGATAGGAGAAGTCGAACCAAGGATTTTCCGTACATAATGTTGGCAACTTGATCAGTAAGCTGCATGCGCAATATTTGCTAGTTTAGCTTCATTTTGGTGCACGTGCCATCGGCAGGCTTTTTCCTAATGACCTTGTTGTAGTTCACTGCTCTATACTCTGTACTTCTTTGTGCTCGTTATGTCATGTTTGCGCACTTGCTCACTGCACAGCTACTGAGTATCATCAATGTTACAACGTCGTAGTCTTATTCTGGTAAGAAATTTGGACATAAGAATGCAATTAAGGGTACTCTATTCTAATTGTCTAAGCACCCCAGTGATTGCTACAGCTCTCAATAGGGACTAGTACCTTCATGCTTCAACGAATCTTTTGGGAATAATGCATGTTAGGGCGAGCATAGTAAAAGCCGTTAGAAAAGAGGTCTGTGATAAAAGGACTGTCTAAAAATCAACTACAGCTATCAAGCAAACGACTAAATACGATAAAGCTCAGAATGGAATCCGCTCACTTTTGGTGGGTGCGATGCCTCTTTCCCGTAGGGAACATTCATGTTAAGAATAGATGTATCTTGATGCGTGGGGTTTTCATCCTCGTTGTCAGAGGGATGGACACACATCCAAACATTCAAAGACAATCAAAGACAATCGCAGTTCCTTTCGTTTGTCTTAAGAGCCTTAGTTTACATATCAGAAGAATGATCCAATAGTGAGATTAGCAGTAGTCATCTTTTGAGATTAGTTACACTGCTAGGAGTTACGTACGTGGTGAGCGGTCGAATTAAGGTTTTAGTGATTCCTCGTATCAATATGGTTGATGTTTCTCACCTGGTAACGATGATTACACTGAGAATAGTCTCATCTCGCTGAGGATACTGATGTAAGTGAATCTCCAGGATCAAGGAGAGCACCACAAAAATCACATGCCTTAGTTCTCATGAAGGCCGAACTCAAACTTCGGCAGCTCACAATGCTGATGATTCCCTATAAAGACAAAACAGCTGTAAAACGTTAATCGACTTTCCGGTACGCATCAGATCTCCTTGTACAAGTGCTATTCTTCTATACCAGCACAGAGACAACGGTTAATGTTGCTGCACTTCCCGATGCATGTCGGTTTTGTCCTGACGCCCCATCTCAGTCAATTCCATAGATCCTTCCCGTACCACAAGTAAAACTATGCAACGGTTATTTCACGCCTTTGCGTGAAATGCGATGGTCGGTCAGTGAACCTTTGGAGCGCCAGTCTTGTTCACGTTCTGCCCAGGGATCATACGGAAATGAGTCTGCTTGTTGTCGTGGGAATCGATGTTGCAGTTTGCCTATGGAGGTCTTAAAAACGAGTCGGCGTGTGCATGCGCCGAACCAGTTGTCGAACAAATTAGCTCATACTGTTAGTTTATGTAGAAGAATTCATGTGAATATGGAGGAGTGGATGAACGGTCAACATGAAGAACTCGACAGCAAGTGAAAGTGATCAGGAATACAGATAGATAGGTATAAATGACGCTACTCATGAGTAGTCAAAGAAGAAAAGTGTACACCATCTCTAGTTGTTTCACGGTGGAACACTTGTTGTCAAAACATATCAGTTGATTCCGGTATACCTACCGCAGCCTGTGTATGAGGTCACTCGGCCAGCTTAGTGGCCTGTAAGGGCAGTAACACATACTTAAACTTTTGAAAATGGGATGACCTAGTCCTGTAATGTTACATGGGGGTTTTATGGATGAAGTTTCATTATGCATTCGCTTCTTTTTAGCAATTCAGGAGCGAAAAATCGGGAGACGTCCGTCGGAGCTTCCGTTCATACCAAAGAGGTCATATTTGGTCTTCTAATCCCTGTGATTCACAAATGAGAGGAACTCTCCCATTGGGTGGAAATTTTATGGTTAGGGACTACGGAAGTACCATATTTGAAGAAATTGTTGTGAAAATTCAAGTTGCCGGTTTATTTTGTGACTGAGTCATTTATGTTCTTGCCCTGCTACTTTTTTATCCACTAGGTACACTCACATCCCTGCCTGGTAGCTAAATTGATCAGTTGCCATTCCTCTATTTGCACGTCCAATTCTCATATTTCAAACAACCATTAAGACAGCCTTCAATCAGCTGTTAAACCCCCCGCCTTGAGTTAAACTTCATTTGGGCACCTAATAGTAGCCAGCTGTGCAAGCGAAAATGTTCCACATGAACAATTTTCATTCAGAACTAAAAAATGTGATCCGTAGGCATTATCCAGCGTGCAAGTCATTTTGTGGCCAAAAGTGACCGAAAGTGTCAACATGTTAAAACTCTGCAAAAACTGAAAGTAGCTGTATGGTGCTCTTGTTCAGATCGGTTATGGCAAGTCCACAAGATGGTTTTGTCCGTCGGTTCGCCGAGATGGCCCTACACCACACATCACGTGAGATGCTCGTCTTCATCATTATTTGCTGCATCAAGCAGTGCCAGTTTATAAGTGGTTTATGATGTCGTTTGCTTGGATAGACACGGGTGAGAAAAAAGCTATACAGAAATTAGAAAAGGGAGGTAGCTTGAGGATTGTTCGGACGGGTTTTAAGGGATGTAGCCATAAAATGTGGCTGCATGAAGTAGGTTAACCTGTTTAGGGACACAGACTTGCCAAGAACTGCGGTCTCCTGGCATTTTCGAAAGCTATACAGCCATAATTGAGAGTGGTAATCTGCTCCTGTTTGATTGCTAACATCTGGCGACTTTGTAGTGTTGGAAGGGAGGCATCGATGACTTGGGATCACTTCTTCGGTGGGACTCGTATAATTCACGCTCACGTCCCTCTAGTTAAAACAGTTCTTCTCCCGTCCTGGCGCAATTATTCTGGTGTGTCCGCACCAGTGAGGAATCAGTAGACTCAAGTTTTAGTCCTACTGCAGCTGGTCAACAGCTTGTATCCTTGGCCATGGCGGGATGTGAACTTGATCTCGCTTTTGAGACTGATAGGTTTTGTGTCAGATCTGTGTCCCACATCACTCTACTGTTACGGATTTCTCAGGAAAATGTCACGGAGAATTTCTTTGAATGCAGTTATTTCAATTAACAATCTTGTAAAATGGATTAGTTTGCAGTTGAAATGAAGAGTTCAAGATGGGCAAACATACAACACAACTCAGTTCGTTCTCTAGTTGGATCACATTTGGAGAACTTCGGTAAGGCATTAACTCTGTTTACTGCTCGTCGGTAGCGCTTTTGGTTATATTAGACTGCTGCCCCTTGATAGGGGCAGCAAGTATTACTGTGTCTCCTAGTCGGGCAACTGACTCAAAAATATGTTTGCTTTGTAAAGGCACAACGCTTAAGTAGCTATCATCCAGATTGACTCCGGCCAGTTTAGATACACACGTCGCGAAAAGCACAGGCGAAGAAAACTATACCTCT